GAGAAGGCTTTAAGGATTATCCTGTCTGTCCCTCCCTTTGATGGAAGGAGCAAGCATTGTTTTTAGGGCCTGTCTCTCTGGCTCTGTTTTGCTCAGATATGTTGCTCATCTCCCGTGACAGCCTGAGGGACAACTCAGGGAGCAGGAGACTGAGAAAGGGGAAGACAGGAATGTTAAGCCCAGCCTGCACACACTACGTAAGCAAATTACTTTGTCTCCCCGCTTTGGTTTCCCAACTATAAAATGGGAATATTGTTTTCTTTCTCCACTCACAAAGTATATTGTCAAAAGGAGATAATAAATGGAAGTCTTATTTCAGGCTACAATTACAGTGTGTGTCAGTGTGTAATTTCGTCTGCCTCTCTGCTGAGTTTGCCTTACCTCAACATTCCCTCGGCATCTCAGAGCTCCACCCAGGGCCAGCCCAGCAATGCTATGTTGCAGCACCAAGGACTCCCATTTAGTAGGTCAGTTTCAGCCTGGAATCTCACTGTTTGGGACTCTGTCTAGACACGTGGTCGGCAAACTCATTAGTCAACAGAACCAAATGTCAACAGTACAACGATTGAAATTTCTTTGGAGAGCCACATTTTTTAAACTTAAACTTCTTCTAACGCTACTTCTTCAAAATAGACTTGCCCAGGCCGTGGTATTTTGTGGAAGAGCCACATTCAAGGGGCCAAAGAGCCGCAGAAGTCTATCTTCTTCAAAATAGACTTGCCCAGGCCGTGGTATTTTGTGGAAGAGCCACATTCAAGGGGCCTCGCAAGCCACAGTTTGCTGACCATGGGCCTAGACATTTAGGGCTTTGGTTTATCAGAACCAGAATCAACAGCAAACACTTATGTACAGCCTCTTTGATTATGCAGAAAACAATGTGTGTCCCGTTTTTTTCATGGTTGTATTCCAGGTCCCCAGGCATAGTGTCTGGCATATGGTAGGTACTCAATGCATAGTTTCTGGATACAAAAGTGCATCAAGAAGAACTAGGAACTGAAAGGACTATGTAACACAGAGCCACTACCTTCAAGGACTTATAATCTGCTCAAGTTGATTTGGATTACAGACAGAAGGCAAGAGGCAATGGAACAAAAGAATGTGAGTCATTCTACACAAAAGGCCAATGAGCACAATGAAAAGAATCACCTGGAGAGGCAGAGGGACTCTCTCCTAGGTGAGCTGACTGAAATGGTATGCCAATCTCCAAGCACTTCAAAGAGCTATTTCATCATGTTTGAGGGCTAGCCTTTATCACCAGGACAAGATTTTCAATCTTTTCCTTCATCAATGAGTCAGTCCTTCCGGGTGGCCTAGGCCAGTTTGCTTGTGGTGAGAAGTGGTTGGATTCTGGATAAAATATAAAAGATGGCCAAGCAGTCTGTAATGATGGCTTAGGTACGCTGTAAGAAAAATAAAAGAATGACCCCCAAGATGTTTGGTCTGAGCAGCTGGCACAGTGGTGCCATTCCCTGAGATGGGGATTGAGGCGGGTGAAGGGTGGGGAGGCACGAGAGGAGGGTGTTTAATTTTGGACATGTGAGATTTGGGATGTCATGAGACACAAATGTCTTTGAGGCCATGTTAGCACGTGGGGGAGGATCTGGTGCACCATGGGAGGGCCAGGCCTTAGACCTCAGATGGGAGCCTGGGGCGTGGACAGGCCCTCAATGTAGCCGGAAGGAAGATGAGTGTACTAGCGCAGTGACTGGAAAAGGGGGCAGCGAGAGCCTGAGGAAGCTCTTCTGTAACTGCTGCTTTCTCTCAGTTTCACAGGAAACCAGATCAGCAGCTGAGAACTGGGAGACAAGGTTTTAAGATAAAGAAGGTGTGAAATACTCTCCTGAAACACTTCTCAAAAGTCAGCTCATGACCCAATTGGGGATCTCAATATCAACTTAGTTATTTTAAAAAGTACACAGTTTTAACAATAATTTAAATTAAAAAAAAAGTAAACAGAGTTTTAAAATAGTTTGTTGTATGTATTAAGAGTAAGATTTGCTTCATAAAAGCGTTATTTCAGTTGTATGTTTGTGTATGTGCAGGAGCACCTATGTATGTGTTTGGGTTTGAGTCTCCCTGGGTGCTAGAATAAAAAAATTTTTAAAACACTGGCCCAGGGCAGTGGGAAGAAATGAACAAGGGGCTGTCAAATAAAGTCAGGGACAGAGGTAATGGTTTCAGAGCTAACATTTTTATGCGAGAAAGATTATATGACAGACTCAATATAGACATTGGACCTGTAAGGAGCCCAACCCCTCCCTACCTCCACTGACCCTACAGGAAAACTTTTTGTGTGAATACCTTCAATGACAGGATGCTCTCCAGATTAAAAGCTTTAGATTTCAGAATATCATTGTCCTCTTATTAAAAAGTGGGGCCTTCATGAACACTCTGAGCTGTGGAAGTTCTGGCAGGGGGAGTTTGGAATGTGGTGTACTTCACATGAAGTTTGACCTTATTGTGTAACACCAACTTTGATGGCTTCCTTCTATTTCAAAGAGCTCTAAATTCTCTAAAACAAAACCAGTATCAGAAAACCAAGAAATGTTTGTCTCAAACAGTAGCCAGAATGGCACCAGTTGTCTTTTAAATGTATGCTCTCACAGTTGTACATATATCTTTTTTTCTACTACGTGTAATACTTTAAACAATAAAATAAAATGTAAAAACAATAAAATAAAAATAAGTAAATAAATGTATACTCTCTGTTATTTTAATGGGTCCTTGGGCTACAGTGTGTGCCTTATGTATCATTCCTCTTTCAAGGTTTGTTGTTGATTCCAATCCAATATAACTTTACTTAGAAAAAATTGTGTTCATCTTAAAGACTTTACATGCTTTGATTGTTGAAAGTTTTTTCTGTAAAACACATTAATACATAATAGTTAAGAATGTGTCAGTAGATGCTGTAAAAATGGCCATTTGTAGTTTTAATTCTAACGAGCTGTTTACTTTCTAGACAATGTAATTTAGAATAATAAAAGTACTCCTCCAGTTCCATATTTTGCCTGATTGTTGAAAATGGTTTTGAAATTATTCACTGAAACTAATTTTCTATGCACCTGCCCAATTTCTGAATCATTTATGAGTTAAGTACTTTTTCCTTATTGTAAAAGCAGTATCAAATTTAGTTTATTAGACCAGATACCAGGCATGTATGCACATTGTACACAAAATGTATCTTTTCCTTGCAATGTTGTTCTCTTTCTACTGTACTTATTCTGATTTATTTAAATAAAAGCACTGGAGTAACCAAAGTGGAAATGAAATTTCACTAAAAGAATGAGGGCTCAAAAATGCACTCTCTGCCTACATCAGTAAGTGTATGCTAATTTATGACACTATTTAATCTTAGTCCAGTTGTAAATCAAATTAAGTAATGTTAATCCATTTTCTATCTTTGGGAGTCCACTCAGCAGTTTCCCTTCTCAAAGTGCTCAGAAAATGGTAAAATTGCCAAACAGGAACACACACACACACAAAATTTCTTTTATGAAGTATGGATCACTTTGCTATTCTTTATGGAGACACTCATATGATCATTTTCTGTACGTAAAGTTTTTCTCTATGACAGGAAACATACAAGATTAGTTCCTCTTCCATTATTTCCATTACTTCCAACGAAAGCTCTGCCCCTTCCAGTTTGCAAGCCTCAACAAGTCCGTTGCTGAGTCAGAACCTCCTTTTCCCCTGATGTGCGAAATCTTTCTCCCTGGAGCTCGTAAAGCTTCGGAAATGTTTAGAGCTTCCCGGGGGAGGGGAGGAGGGAAAGGCTGGGGATGGCGGCCTGCCTGAGGCGGGGAGGAGCCCCCCACGCAGCAGTCCCCGTGATGGCGCAGGAAGCGCTTTTATGAAGGAGGGGCCCTTGGAGCCGGTCCCGGTTACCATGGAGCTGCTCTGGGAACCATTATATGCTTACGTGTGTGCAGCCCCGCGGGGGGCCGCGTTAGGTACCAGGGACTTGGCCGCTCATTAGCGGAGTGGAGATGCTGGGTGTACCGCGGGAGCCTCGGGTTCGCCCTTCCGGAGAACACCTCCACGTGGCCGCGGGAAGGTGGGTGACAGCGGGGAGCCCGGCCTGAGAAGGCACTTTCCCGGACCACCCGGAGGGCTCCAGGTCGGGCCAAAGGTGCAGGCTAACCAGCTGGCCATCTGCAGGGCGGGCAGCTGGCTGGCCGAAGACCCCAGGGCGGGCGGGTCGGTCTCCCCAGCCTCAGTTTCCCCTGCCAGCCAGTCCCACCCAAAGAAGGCCCAGTCCCAGTCCCAGTCCCAGGGAAGCCCTGGTCCCAGAGGCCGGACCCCACGTGACCCGGGGGGGGGGGCTGAAGGGAACCCGAAGGAGGCGGGGCCGCGAGCGCGATCTAACAGGAGCGGCAGGGGCGCGCGTTAGACCCCAAGCTGGAGGGGCCGTTGCCTCGCACTCCTGTACGCAGCCCCCGCGTGCTGCTGCTCCTCCTCCTCCTCCTCTTCCTCCTCCTCTGCGCGCGCCCGGAACCCAGCAGGCCGCCCGCCGCCCCAACCGGCCATTCCCTCGCCCAGGGCTGGGGAGGGGAGCCGGGGACGCGCCGCTCGTTCCCGCGAGCTCCCCACCCCCCCCCGCGCGCGCACGCCGCCGGCCAAGCGCGCATATTAATGAGGGGCGGGGCGAACGGGGCGGGGCCACGGCGTCGAGGAGGCGTGGCCGCGGCGCGAGCGGGGACGCACCGCGGGGGGGCGGGGCGATTGTGAGGTGACGCTGACGCACGTTCCGGGGTTCTTAAGCGGCGAAGGTGGCGGCGGCGAGGGCGCCCGAGCCGGTCTCGGGAGGTGGCGGTGGCCGCCGCGAGGGGTTGGCTGGCGGGGCCCGAGTGGATGCCCCCAGCCTCAGTCACGGTGTCCCTCCCTCCCCGACAACACCCCCCCCCTTCCACCACGGGCCGCGCCGCCCCGGACCCCGGCGGCCACTTAGGCGGGCAGCCGACCGGGCGCGTCTCCTTCCCGTGGCCGCCGGCCCGACATAAATGAGGGACTCGGGGTTCGGGGTGCTGCCGGTCGCCCCGCTCCGAAGCAGCGGCAGCTCCAAGTCCCTCTTCGGCGGCGGCGGCGGCGGCGGGACGTACCGTCCTTCCGCCGCGGGGCCTGCCGCGGCCGCCGCCGCCCCGCCGCCCTCCGCCACGCCCTTCGGCCCGCGCTCGCCGCAGCCGCCGCCGCCGCCGTTGCCTGTCACCGGGTTCGCGGGGGCCGCCTCCCCCTTCCCCGCGCCCCTCGGCGGCGGCGGCGGCGGCGGCCGCGCGGGCAGCAGCTCGGCCGCCGCTTCCTCTTCCTCCCGCCGTCCCCCGGCGCGCCCGCGGGCCATGCAGGATGAGCTGCTGCTGGGGCTGACCCCGCGGGCGGCGGCCGCGGAGAAACTCCCCAACCACCGCCCCGGCGGCGGCACGAACGCGGGTGTGACCCACCTCCTCCCCTCCCAGGACTTCCAACCGAGTCTGCACCTCCCCGCCTCCTCCTCCTCCGCCTCCTCCTGCTGTGGCTGCCGCACCTCCTCCCCGCAGGACTTCAGTGAGCGGCAGCAGCAGCAGCGGAGCGGCCAGAAGAGGAAAGAGTTGAGCCCTCCCCGCCGGTCCCACCCTCCGGACCCGCAGCCGCCGCCGCCGCCGCTCCACCGCCCCGGCCGGCTCAGCCCGCCGCCGCCCGGCCCGCCCCTGCAGCCGGCGCCGCTCGCCCGGCGCCCGCAGCCGCTCAGCCTCCCGCACCCGCCGCGCCTCCCGCCGCAGGACTCGGCCCCGCGGCAGCGCCCGCCGGCCGGCCCGCCCTCGCTCCCGCCGCGGCTCCAGCCCTCGCCGCCGCCCGCAGCCCCGCGGCGCCGCCACGGAGGCGCGGGCAGCCCTCGCGGGACCCGGGCCGCGGGCGAGGGCAGCGCCGCCGAGCCCTCCGATGCGGGCTTGGCCCCCTCGACGCCGCCACCACCGGTGAACCCCGCAGGGCCGGGCTCCATGGAGTCGCCCAACCACCCTCTGCTCGGCAGCCCCGGCAGCCTGCTGGCCGGCGGGGCGCTGGGCGCGGGCGCCTTCAGCAGCCTGCAGAGCCCGGACCTCCCGCACCCCGGCGGCGGCGGCGGCGGCGGGGGCGGGGGGCCCCCCGGAGGCGGAGGGGGAGGCGGCCCCGCGTCGCCACCGCCGCTGCCCGGCTTCGGCACCCCCTGGTCGGTGCAGACCGCGTCGCCGCCGCCGCCGCCCCAGCAGCCGCAGCCGCCGCCGCCGCCGCCGCCCCAGCAGCCGCAGCCGCCCCAGCAGCCGCCGCCGCCCCAGCAGCCGCCGCCGCCCGGCTCGTCCACGGCCACCCCGGGGGGCGGCGGCTCGCTCAGCGCCATGCCGCCGCCCAGCCCCGATGCGGAGAACGGCTTCTACCCGGGGCTGCCGTCGTCCATGAACGCGCCCTTCTTCCCCAGCTTCTCGCCCGTGTCCCCGCACGGCTGCGCGGGGCTCGGCGTGCCGGCCGGCGGCGGCGGCGGCGGCGGCGGCGGCGGCTTCGGCGGCCCCTTCTCGGCGGCCGCGGGGCCCCCGCCGCCCGCGCTCAGCGTCCCCCCGCAGCCGCCCCCGCCCGCCGCGCCGCAGCCCAGCCGCCGCTCGCCCGTCAGCCCGCAGCTGCAGCCGCCGCACCCGGCCCCCGCCTTCCTGCAGCAGCGCAACTCCTACAACCACCACCAGGTACGGCCGGGGCGGCGGCGGCGGGGCCGGGAGCGGCCGGGGTGCGGCGCGGTGCGGGTGCGGGGCGAAGCGCGTCGGGAGCCGGCTGGTGCCCCCTCGAACCCCGGGGGCCCGCGGCTCTCGCGCCCCTCCCCGCCGCCCACCGGCGAGCCCGAGCCGCGGGCGCCGGGGCCCGGAGGGCGCTGTCGGGTTCCGGGGCCGGCGGGCGCGGGCGGGGAGCGAACTTGGGAAGGAAGGACGCGCGGTTCGGGGACGGTGCGTATCGTCAGGTTGGTTTGTTGCTTTCGGAACCGGCCGGCTCGGGGCTTAGCGGAGGAGACGGGGACGGCGGACCGAGTCCTGAGCCGGACGGCCGGGCAGCCGCTCCCGCAGCCTCCGCGCCGTCGGGTGGTTCCCTAACCGGCCGCCCGGAGCCCCCGGGGTTCCCGATGCGCCGCGGCCGCCTCCGCCCCCGCCTCCGCCCCCGCCTCCGCCCTGGGTTGTTTCACGCCTGGGCACAGAGTGCGGGTTTTCACCCTAAAATGAAGCCAAGCCCGGGATCGGCGCGCAGCCCGGAGGGGGCGGCCCCGGGGCGGCTCCACGGACCCAGCCGCCCAGGAGGATGGCGTCTCTATGTCGAGTGGGTCCTGTAACTAAGACCTGACCCCAGGGGGTGGTGGTTCCTCCTGGGCCTTCTCCACCGGGTCCCTGCCCGGCCCCGGGACAGGGTCCGAGCGCCCGCGGGCCGGGGAGTGGGGCCGGCCAGGGCGTTCGGTGCATTTCTGCCATGGCCCGCGTCTGCGGAGGGGACCCCGCAGGGCCAGGCCCTTTGCAGACGGGGGGCTGAGCGGTCAGCAGAGGGGGACCAGGGCTCTCTGACTCCCCCAACTCTTCCCACTGACCACGGTGCCCAGCGATGAGCCAGGTGACTGGTCAAGGGCGAATGCCGATCGAAATTTAACACAAGTGACAGTTAACAGTCTATTTCAATTAACCAGAGTAACAGTTGACAGTTGTTTTTTTCTTGTTGTTGAATCACAGGTTTCTCCCCCAGCAAGGAGAATGTGGTTCGATGAGGATTGAAAAATGGGGGATTTTGAAATAATACTCCACTTTTTTTTTTCATGATTTGCATAATTTTTAACTGGAAACTTGCCACGGGAAATTTTAGGTGGTGTTTTTTTTTTTTTTTTTTTTTTTTTTTTTTGAGTTTCTGAAGACATGATGTAGATTGTAGAACATTGGAAGGCCATATGCCATGGTCCGTATTTAGCTCTAAGCTGGGTTTGTAGTTGTTTTTGTCCAAAGGTGGGTCTGGCAGTGGGGTGTGAGAGGTGGCACTGCTGTCACATGGAATTTAGGTCACCCGGGGGGAACTTGGAGCTTGTATCGGTGACAAGCGGTTTCTCCATGGCCCCTTAACTGTGTGTGTGAATTGTGTGGAGGGTGAAACTGTTGTAGTATATAGTCATCATTATATTCCCATTCAAATTTTTAAAATAGATACTTGTCTCGGGTTTGGTTTCCTTGTCTTGTAAAAAACAGGTTTATTTGAAGGGTGCTGTATTTGGTGTATTTTCCGTTCTTTAATGACATAACGTTTTGCCATAGATTCTAGTTTGGAGGTCAGTTTACTTTTGAAAATGAATGAAGTTAATGGAGACTTGTATTATTAGGATCTTTACTGTGATAGTCAAATAGTTGTTTATTTTTGTATATCTCAGTGGATCCACCTATGGGTGACATTAGATAATTGCTTATCAGTTCATGGATAATTAAGTGAAAATAAACAAAAATATTTTAAAAGAAGCTACATCCAATCTGGAATAAAATATCTTAAAAGTACAGTCAACAGAACAGAAAAGGACAATATTTCCTATATTGTCCCTATCCCAAAAGGCCTTTATTAATTTGTACAACAGAATAATACCAAACCTTATTATTCACTTTTGCAGCAATGCAAGTTGTTTTGGCAAACTAAAGTCTAAATATTTCACCCATATGGCTCATATATTTTGATTGATAAAGATCATGCTTTTAGTTGTATACCTAATGGAATGTGGTTGCTTTAAGATCATAATGTAGGGTATATTTTTAAGGATCTTCAGAGTTAATTTCAATTTAAATATATATCTCATGTATATGGTTCTCTCTGAAGGGGGAAAAAAAGTAACCACATGCTTCCATTTTAGTAATTGTCATTAAGTATCTGGCTGTTCAGTATAATTTATAGTAGGCAAGAGCATGAAAACTGCCTCACCTTAAGCTAATATTTTATTATAGCAAGATCTCAAGCCTATTACTTTTTGTTAATTAGCTAGGGATATATTCTGTGTATTCTATATTTCATTTTTTTTTTAAAATCTTAGCTCAGGTCTAAAATGTGAATTTCAATAATAAGTTCTTTAAATGCCTGTAATTTAAAGAGATATGTTTTTCTCAGCCTCTTCTGAAACAATCTCCTTGGAGCAACCATCAGAGCAGTGGCTGGGGCACCGGAAGTATGTCCTGGGGAGCAATGCATGGCCGAGATCACCGTAGAACTGGAAACATGGGGATTCCAGGAACTATGAATCAGATATCTCCACTGAAAAAACCGTTTTCTGGTAATGTCATAGCACCACCGAAATTCACTCGTTCTACTCCGTCCCTGACGCCAAAATCTTGGATTGAAGATAACGTGTTCAGAACAGACAATAATAGTAATACACTGTTACCTTTACAGGTAAGAACGGTATGTAGATGGCTTATTTCTAATGTCAATCTTTCAGAATTGGGAACTGAGTGGTGGTAGCAGTAGTATGGTAAATTAATGGATTAAAAAAGAAAGTTTTCCTTTTTAAGCATATGTAATTTCATTATCAAAGGGTAAAATACCTAGATGAAGAAAAGTGACATCATAAAAAATCTGAAAGCACACAATAGTAAATAAGCTTAAAAAAAAAAGAAAAACCTGCTGCATTTCTGAAATACATATTGAAGCTTTTAATTGGCAACTTCTTAAGACTGCCTTAACTTATTTAATCTTTAATGGGCCACCAAAATGGGTTTTTCCTACAATACATCTAAACTAAAATATTTGTAATTATGCTTAGATTTGGCTATGATCAGCTGTAATGTACTAGAATGTGCTTAGTACAGCTGTGAATATGGCAAAATAACATGGCTTTTTACATAGCATTAAATTTCGTCTCCATTGGTTCAAGGACTATTTTTTTCTAAATGTGGCCTAGTAGTTACAATTTTTCAGGCCTTTTTGTATTTTGCTGATATTGCAGGTTATTGAAACTCTCTTATGGCTATTTAAAATTAGGTGTGTTTTTTTTGTTTTGTTTTGTTTGTGTTCTTGTTTGTTTGTTGTGTGTGTGTGTGTGTGTGTGTGTGTGTGTTTAATTGAGGTGTTTGTTTTCCTGAAACCTTTAGAAAAAGGAATAAAGTTAGAAAGAATTTTGGTTTTTGTTTGTTTTTCTTCCTTTTTTTGTGTTTGTGGGTGGGTATGGGAAAGGGAACTGCATATTTCTGATGAAAACTTCTATGCTGTTGAAGGTGAGATCTAGTTTGCAGTTGCCAGCTTGGGGCTCAGATTCTCTCCAAGATAGTTGGTGCACTGCAGCCGGAACATCCAGAATAGACCAGGTAGGCTGCACAGTGTATATTTTCCAGGACTTTGGCTAGGAGTTTAGTAGTATTTACATTAAGAGGAGGATTTATTACTTACTTTCAGTATCTACTTAAGCATATGTCAGAGAGCATTAAAGCAATTTATTTTTAAAGGGTCACTTGACTTAAACTATTTAATATAAAATGCTTTATTTTCATATTTAAATGTAACTCATAATAATTTTACATTTCCAAAACATAATAAATTACTTTTTGAAAAAATGGGATTATGTACCCAAGAGCACCTGGCTTTAAACATCAGTCAAATGGAACAGATATTTCATCTTCTTTCAGAATTATTTGCAATTAGATACAAAATCCTGTTTATACTTAATATCCAACTTGACAATTTCATCCATGTTTTTACATAATTTTTAGTAATGTTTTTCATAAACCCTGCTATGTTGGTCTTGATAAACTTTCTTAAAAAGCCCTATCTTAGTTTAGCTTTTTTCAACTTGATAGAAAACAACAACACTTTGATACAGTATTTTTTTCTGAATTTTGTTACTGCTCTTAAATATTATCTTCTTCCAAATAATCAGTTTCTCTAGGAAAAACTCTGAGCCAGAAGACTGGGAGGCAGCCTTCTAAATCACTATCAAGCCCTTATACAAAATGTTATTTCTCGTCCTGCAGACTAAATTGAATGCATACTGGGCACTGGGTGATGAGAATTATTACAGGACACATAGAGTACTCAGTCCTGTGCATGAGGGTTCTCTTCTACAGAAACCAGGTTGGAGCAGAGTTGACACTACGGAGCTGTTATCCGTAGCTAAGGCTCTTACTTAGTTAATTTATCAACATGGGATTATTTTATAAGGACTGTATAAACAGATTAATACTATGCTTGTAACTAGCATTCTAACCTGGAGGGTTAGCAGTAACTTTAATAATCAAGCATTAGCACTTGTTTTAGACAATTCTCACCTATTTACCAGAGTAGTCCTGCCAGGATCTTCACTTAGAAATTAAGTAGTGTGTCATGTAATGTGTACCTTATTGTCTTGCTAATGTAAGTTAGCTGTCCATCTATTTCTACTCTCCTTTTCACCTTGGTTCTTTTAGGCCATATCAGTGTCATTTTTATGATAGCTTTTTTTATGTCATTTGTATCGAATATATAAATGCCTAGGAAATGGTGTGTTAGAAGAGGAAAATAACGGTAATTATTTTGAAGGTGGCAAGAGGCATTTTTAGGGCAGAAGAGACAAAAATATTCCATGATAATTGGATACACATAAGAGAGGGATATACTGTATGTCTCCAGAGAAGGAAGACAAATTAGCTGCGATATAAAGGGTCTGTGGGTTGGTGGGGGGAGCATATGTTGAGAAAATAGGTTATTGAGATGGTGTCAGTTGCTGGAATGTAGAGAGCAGAGGTAATCAGGAAAAAGGCCAGTTTGCAAATTGGGCTCTGCAGAGGTGCCCCTGGACCTGTTTTTGTTCATTAGTTGATATGTTGTTCATTATATTCCCCAAATGAGTGAGATCATGTGATATTTATCTTTCTCTGACTGGCTTATTTTGCTTAGCATAATGCTCTCCAGCTCCATCCATACTGTTGCAAATGGTAAGAATTCTTTCTTTTTTACAGCAGCTTAGTATTCCATTGTGTAGATGTACCACAGATTTCTGATCCACTCATCTGCTGATGGGTACTAAGGCTGATCCCAACTCTTAGCTATTGTAGCCAAACCGGTTTGACTTAGTGGCAGAGTGTCCGTCTGCGGACTAAAAGGTCCCAGGTTCGATTCCGGTCAAGGGCATGTACATAGGTTGCGGGCACATCCCTGGTAGGGGGTGTGCAAAAGGCAGCTAGTCGATGTTTCTCTCTCATCGACGTTTCTAGCTTTCTCTCGCTCTCTCCTCCTCTCTGTAAAAAATCAATAAAATTATATATATATATATATATATATATATATATATTTTTTTTTTTTTTTTTTTTTTTTTTTTTTAAATCTTAGCTATTGTAAATTGTGCTGCTATGAACAGGGGTGCATGTATCCTTTCTGATTGGTGTTTCTAGTTTCTTGGGATATATTCCTAGAAGTGGGATCACTGGGTCAAATGGCAGTTCCATTTTTAGTTTTTTGAGGAAACTCCATACTGTTCTCCACAATGGCTGCACCAGTCTGCATTGCCACCAGCAGTAAAGGAGGGTTCCTTTTTCTCCGCATCCTTGTCAGCATTTGTCCTTTGTTGATTTGTTGGTGATAGCCATCCTGTCAGGTGTGAGGTGGTACTGCATTGTCATTTTGATTTGCATCTCTTGGATGATTAGTGACTTTGAGCATGTTTTCATATGTGTCTTGGCCTCCCTCATGTCCTCTTTCGAAAAGTATTTAGGTCCGTTGCTAATCTTCCTTTTGTTAATGATTTTGAATTTACTTTAGATATTAAGGTTGCAATATAGTTGTTCGTTAGCACTTAAATATTTTAAATCAAAGAGTAAGTATACTGGTAGCTGAGGTTATTACAAGTTTTTATATGGCCCATCAGTTCTCTGTAAACAAAACAACATCAGGCCTTTAAAACTGTATTAGAGCACATGAAGCCTATAAGAGGTGTGTTGCCCTGTCCTCTAGCTGAGCTATTATCAATATATTCAACTCTAGATGTTTGTTCTTATGGAAGTTCTGCCTGCAGCTTTTGAGCATGTCACATGAACCACCTTGAAAAATTGAAGGCATTTTCACCAACCTTTAAAATTTAGCTTATAATGATAATGTGGGCTTCTCTTTCAGACAAATATATTATTTGGGGTCTTTATTCACCTTACACACACAAAAAATGTATTCAACCAAGTCCAATTTTTTATTTAATAAAGGGTTTCTTAAACTGTGGTGGTTAAACTAGATGAGCTTTAGGGACATTGGTAGTTACCAAACCTTACACCTACTGAAAATGAAAGAGAACGGGCATTCTAACACATACAATGTAGGTAGATAGATACTTGATTCTTACGTGTATCTTGTGTCCAGTTCTTTAATTATACTTAATATATTTTTACACCAATATTTTCTATTGCCTCTCCATTTTCTTTAACCCTTTTATACTACAATAGCTTTGGCCATTTGGGGTCTTTAAAATTAAAAAAATCAAAAAAAAAAGAAAAGCCAGAATCACCGTTACAGAATTTTTATTATCAGAATAATAGAGAATTTAAAAAATGAATGTTCATTATGTACGTGGGAGTGTAATACTATTCTTGGCCATTGAAAAGTGAAAGTCCAGCGGGATGAGGAGAGGGGGTAGCTGTTTGGAACAACCACAGGATGTGAGAGTGCTGGTTGTGTAGGAAGGCAGAGAGGCAGAGCATACACTGCTAATACCATGCATAACGGTGTGTGCTGAGGAGTGGATAATCAGTATTACAATGAGAAAAATGTTAGCACAGCTTTGCTATTTTATTTTAAAACTGGAGAACTAAGCTCAGAAATACAGTTTTAAAAGCTGATTTTTCTACTTGTGCGGAAGAACACATGCTCAGGCGTCTGGTATATTTTAAAAATGAGGATATAGGGTTTTTCTGTAACTCATCCTCTTTTTTTGGGGGGAAAGTACTTCATTGTCAAGAGGGAAAGGTTCTATTTGACCACTTCCTTCACTTGAAATAGCACAGGGTTTTGAGTATGTCATAGCAAAAATATGATAAGCCATAAAGTTCCCTTTCAATTGGAATTCCTCTTGTACTAATTGTAATATGATGAACTTTGTTTATGTTTCAGTGTTTATAATCTTTTCTCAGGCCATCCTTTTAGATTGGGGTTATGTTTTTTTTCAGCTTTTCTAAGATTTTATTGTCACTCCTCTAAGTCTTTCTGACAAATGCGTCTGGGTTTATTAAAATCAATAAAATATTAAAATATAAAATATTATTGGTTTTTCCCACCAATGCATTCTAATTTTTGACTGTTTGTTGTTGTGGGATTCTGTAATCTCAGTTTCTGAAAGCTTAGTTAGTTGATTCTTGACCAGATAGTTTTCATATTTAAATTAGATTGGAGTAAACTTTCCTCATAGAGATTCCTACTTATGTGGAATATCTTGGCCATTTTTAATTAGTCAAGTAGTAATAAACATTAGTTACATTGATTTTCCAGTTAATGCTAGTCAGCATTGGCATGTGCATGGTTACTTTAAAATGGTTTCAGGATTGCAATTTAGTTTTTAAACCAATGGCAGTTTGTGTGATCACAAATTTTTCTTATATTTGTAGTTTATAAGGATGCATGAATGTTTGTTTTATAAATCAGACTTGTTTCTGCCTTTTGGTTTTTTTTTCAGAAGTCATATTTTGATTCCCACATTCTATTTAATGAAATCATCTGTACTTTTGAACATGTAAATCTAAATAGCATGGCATGTCATGAGCTCTTTGCCTGCTCAAGGCTATTTTGTGTTTGGTGCTGTAAAAATCATGTGAGAAGCAGCTGATGAGTGACAAAGTAAACTAAGCTAATTTAAGCTAGGCCTTTTTAAAATAGTTTTGCCAGTTTTTTGTTTGTTTGTTTTTATTTTTGCTAAAGTGGGACTTTGTTTCATGATGAAAGACTTGTCTGGGAAGGAAAATAATACACATCACACTTTTGTATAACACTTGTCAGTTGATTGTGGGCACTGATACTTATGAGTAGCTTGCCTATATCTTTCCCCTTCAGATCCTAAATGTTGCATATGCCATTAACAGTGTATATAGAATTATTTTGCCCTAGTTTGGCTCAATGAATAGAGCGTTGGCCTGCAAACTGAAGGGTCCCGGGTTTGATTCTGGTCAAGGGCACATGCCTGGGTTTCGGGCTTGATCCCCAATAGGGGATGTGTAGGAGGCAGCCAATCAATTATTCCATCTCATCATTGATGTTTCTCTCTCTCTCTACCTTCCACTCTGAAATTAATGAAATACATATATTAAAAGATATTTAGAATCATCACTTAAATTTTAATGTGCTCTTAAAGCAAGAGAGGATCACATTCCTTGAAATGGAGTTAGAAGGTGGCCACAAAAAGAAAAAAAAAGGTGGTGTGGGAAATACCATTTAGGTGGTGGTAATAGTCACCATTTAATTACGTTCATAGATTGACTGAAGATGAAACATAGTCTGATTCTGTTAAAAACAATCACCCAGAGAAGATAGCCCTGAACTATAACATATTACTTGTGAGAATTTAAGGTAAAAAGAATATAAAGAACTTATAATGTACTGTATCTTAGAAGGGTGGAACTGAGCCTGAAGAGATTTATTTTGTAACTTAAGATCAAGAAGCTCAATGCTTTTTAAAGTATGGTTACTAGGCTTACAGCCTCAGTATCAGCAGGGGCCACCTCCAGCCTATAGAATCACACTCTGTATAATAGATGGGACCCAGGAGTCAACCCAGATGATTCTGAAGCATGCTCCAGTTTGAGAACTGCTGTTACATTTCAGTTCAGTAATTCTCTGTGTCTCCCTCACCAATCAAGGTCACTGTTTAGTGAACCCCTGTTAGTGATGGGTGTGTTCTACCTGAGCAATCCAACTAAAAATAAGGGGTTAAACTATATAGCTCATCACTGATAAAAGTGGAACAGGAGCCTCTGTGTTAGTAATCTTTTCATTATTAGTGTTTCATTTTTCGTTTCTTGACAGCAATTTGTTTAATCTGCACTACTGACTCCAGCCTCTAGTTTTATAAAGCTCACAACCCTAATTTAAATGTCAAGGTAGAATAAACAAATCAACACATTCTCAGGAAAGCTGCTTATGTTTTTTCTTCAGCTTTCTAAAAGACTGCTTCTGGATCCTCTGGATTGTAGACCCTTTAGGAAAACCAATGAAACACATAAACCTTTCTTCAGAAAAGAAGGGGGTGTACATGCACATACAGAATGTTGTGTAGAATCTCAGATATGCCATGATCCTTGAAGCTCATGGACCCAGGTTTAAGAGATAAAAATCTCCTGCCTCTCCCACGTTTATATGCTTGCACAAGCACATGTACACACACACACACACACACACACACACACACACACACACACACACACGGATGGATGGAAGTTAGAGATAACATATTTTGGTAAAAATCTCCTGGATGATTTGGGGGGCATGGGCAGAGCCTGCTGTGATATGATAGTTCCCTATATCTGTTTGTTCTCAAGTACATTGATTTTATAGTGAGCAAAATACTGTACACGTTAATGAACATTAAAGAATCTACTAGGCAAGGTGAGAGCATTTAAAAAATATTCAGCAAACAAAACTTCTAATGACATAAAAGACTGTTCTGAGACTTGAGGTAGGAAATGTGTTAGTTTTTGTTTTGATACTGGTATTTCATGCTTTTGATTTTTAGTGTATAATATGTTTATGCATTCATTACTGTGAAATTCCGACTAAGTCAAATAATGTACAATGTTTGATAGATGTTTAAAGTATGGTGCAATTGAATTAAATTCTTTCCCCCAACATATTTTTCCCAAGTACCAGTCTTTCTAGTTATAGGAGAAAAGTGTAGAAGTTTAATAACAGCTAAAAATGCTCTGTGTATATCACATTTCAGAAATCTTTATAAGCTGAGAATGATAAAATAGAAATAATTTTACTGTATTACATATGAAATAAGATTGCTTTTGATATATGATTTTGCAAATAAATATATTAAATATATTGTTCTTTGATACAAGAAATATTGTAGTTTATAAGATCCTTAGTTATTGATAGTATCTTGGGATGCAGATTAATTTGTAATAGTATATCAATCATATACTCAATTTTATGTAAGAAGATTAAGAAAATATAGTTATCATTACTTTGTGAAAAAATTGCATAGATTATATTGAATCTCTTTTTCTTCTCTTTTAGGATCGAAGTAGAATGTATGACAGTTTGAATATGCACTCTTTGGAAAATTCGCTTATTGATATAATGAGAGCAGAGCATGATCCTCTTAAGGGTAGGTGACTTTTAAAAATCCTATACATCTACCAATTTGTCTGGTTATCTTACCATTTTTATATGAAAGAAGTTTAGACTTGAGCAGCACTAAGTAGCACCTGTGCCACCTATACATTCTGTGATAACTATTAGTAAGAACCTTGTCTTGGTGAGATGTTATACTTTTTTCTTTGAAGCTTATTTCAATTTATGCTGATTTATATAGAGAGAAATGTAAACCCACCTCTCTAGGCTTGGTTTTTTTTTTTTTTTTTTTAGACAAAGCTACCATATAGAGATACTCGGAAGTCCATCAGAAGATAAAGAATGGATTTAAAAGTGTATAATATAGCCCTGGCCAGTGTGGCTCAGTTCATTGACTGTTCTCCCATATACCTAAAGGTTACAGCGCATTCAATTCCTGCTTAGGGCACATGCTCAGGCTGTAGGTTTAGCAGCCAATTGATTTTTCTCTCACATTAATGTGTGTGTGTGTGTGTCTCTCTCTCTCTCTCTTTCCCTCCCTCCCTTTCCACTCCCTCCCTCTTCTTTTAAAATCAATAAAAATATATTTAAATAAAATAAACAAAAGTGTATATAGTATAGTCACTTTTCTAGAATTCTATACAATACAGAAATATATTAAGAGTACTTTAATTCACAATTCGCATTAATTCTAACCTAGAATTTTCCTAGGTTTACTTGCTTATTTTTCTTCTACTTCATATCATAGGATTTAGAAAGGGGATATTTATACTTCTCTGAGATATAGAACAGATTTTCAAAAAGTTGGTGCAAATGAGGGAAAATAATCAGACTTACTGTAGCTGAAGAATTTCATTAACACTCTTCTTTTCATTTGTCTTTAGTAAATTAATTTGGATTTCTTTATAAATATATCTCATTGGTTTTTTATTATTGGTGAAACTAGCAAACTGTGAGATTGAGTGATGAGAAATATTAGTTATCTATTGCTGTGCAATAAAGTATCCATCCCAAAACTTAGCAGCTAAAAACAACAATAAGCACTTATTACTTCATGCAGTTTCTGCGACTCAATTCAGGAGCAGCTTAACTGGTTGGTTTGCCTCAGGATCTCTCATTGAATCAAAACCACAAGTTACTTTGCAAGCTTTCTGTGTTTTTAATTCTGTAAAGCCAAGTAAGAATTCCTTTACAAATTTTAATCTTAATACTCTAGACTTCAGTGTTGGCAGCAAGGGGGTGGGGGAGGTGGTGTAAAGGGGGGCATTCAGAGCTGACTTGGCAATACTAGATATCTAAACATTTTTGTTTTGTTTCTGGATTTTGCTTGTAAGGGGGTTTCTGGTTTTTCTACTTTATTAGTAAGGAGCTTGAGAAGCTCAAGGAATCATTAGTGATTGTTGACAACATGTGGCAATGGTAATTCTCCTCTTAAATGAATAGAGACAATTGTACTTTGTTCTGAGTGGGTATTTTCTTTGCTTTAACCAAAATTTAATGTTTTTTTTTTTTAAATCTTTGTACAGTATTGAGGATCTTGTTATTTTTCACTGTTATGTTGACAGTTCCAGTAGCAATTTGTCTTGGATCCACTGTTTAATAATAGAATCCAGTGACTGCTTACTATGAAGAATTTCAATTCCCTTGCCTATCTAGAAAGAAAACTCTTGGAAATTAATACAATATAAAGCCAACATTAATTATTACCAAAGGATAATGAAGTTTTTGTTGTTGTTTCCCTGTCTTATTTGAAAAGGCCTTTTGAGGATGTTCAGAGAAAACATTCTCTGCTGCACTATTAATTATCTCAGTCTTTCTTGTGCTCTAGCCTGTGTTATGATAAAAGTGAAGGGAACCTAGAAAGACTGTAAAAGGAAATGGAAACAGTGCAAGGCTAAGTTGAATTTAATAAATAAAATATCAAATTCAAAATTCTTTTGTTAGAAAAATTGCTGACCACGTGAATGGGCAAAACATGCTCACCACTACCTTTAGCAATCAAATCTGTTTCTAATTAGAGAATTTTATGTTCCACATTTATTATGAAAGGGAATAAAAGTACAAAAAAGAAAATTGAGAAACCTTTTGTGCATAGAATAGGGAAGTAAGTCTGGCACTTCTGTAAATTGGCATCATATACCTACCTATTCAAACAATTTTGATACCCAAGTGCTGCCACTTGAAATTTTTTCTTGCTTTTCTCACCAGCATAGGTAGACTTTACTAGCTTCTGGTATCATGTTATACTTGAGGCCCAGTGCACAAAATTCGTGCCCAGGTAGGGTCCATAGGCCTGGCATGCAATCAGGACCAATCTTTCCCAGTTGCTAGCAGCCAGCCTCATATCCAGCCACCTCTGCCGCCAGTTGCCCTCTGTGTGTGGGGTAATAGGCATGGCGATTGGGGCCCCGGCTCCACCTGTGTCTGCTGCCACCCCCTGTTCCTTATTCCCCATTGGGCTTTTGGAGCCTGCGGCAGCAGGGAGGGACATAGAGGTTGGCGGGTTGGCCGGCAGGCTGGGGCAGCTCCTGCACTGGGTGTCTGCCCCAGAGTGATCAGTGCATGTCACAGCCAACTGGTCATTCTACCTACCATCTGGTTGATTTGCATATTATGCTTTTATATATGTACTAGAGGCCCAGTGCATGAAATTTGTCCATGGGCAGGGGGGTGGGGGGAGGGCCTCAGCCCAGCCTGCAACCTCTCCATCTGGGACCTCTTGGGTGATGTTGACTGCCTCTTGCAATCCAGGACTACTGGCTTCCAACTGCTAAACCTGCCTTCCTGCCTGATCACCCCTAACCCTTCCGCCTGCCTGCCTGATTGCCCCTAACTACTCCCCTGCTGGCCTGATCCCCCCTAATTGCTTCTGCCTCGCCCCGCACCCGGGACCTGCTTCTGGGCTGGCTATAGCTGCATAAGAATGTGGGTGGGCAGCTTTGCCTGGGCTGTAGCCACAGGCACTAGTGCCTGGGACAGAAATGGGAGATGCGGGGAAGCTTTCTCTCTCCACAGCCACAGGCGCAGGCACAGCTGCTGGCGCCTAGGATCATGGGGTGGCTTGTCCTTCTCCTGGGCCGCAGCCTGGCTGGCTGGTGCCCATTCTTCTCTCACGAGCTCATTTGTGCCTGACTGGTCCTCATTCCTCTTTTGCAAGCTCATTTGTGCCTGACTGGTTCCCATTTCTCTCTCCCCAGTGTTGAGTGTCTGAGCCTTATGGCAAGAGGGTGTGAGGGCATGATGACCATTTGCATATTAGCCCTTTATTATATAGGGTAGATATCTTCCTCCCCAAATTCTGATCATTTCATGGGTGTTGTTTTATTTGTGGGGTGGGGAGGAGGCTTGACTTCAATAAAACCTGCTAAGGCAAGGTTTTGGATTTGATTTATTTTCCCTTTTCCCCCACCCCTGATCTTTAGGGCAGCACTTCACTTCAGCCCATTTCTGTATCACATCTGCTCCTTCCTTTTAGAAATTTATGTCTTCTGTTTGACACAGGCAATTATTTTTTCCAGAAAATAGGATGAATCTTATTTTATCTTTTAAAAGGGTTTTCAAATAATCAGACAGTTACTTTGTCTTCCTTATGGGATCTAATAAAAAAGGAGAAGGGAATTGCAGGTTAAAAATTGAATGAATTTGTTTTCCTTTATCCTAATAGTGAAAGTTTCTTGAAAAATATCTTTGTGCTTAAGTGATGAGAGATTATATTAGTTATGTACTGCAAATTATCCCTAAATTTCTCAGCTTAAAACAAGAATAAGCATTTAACTCACAATTTTTGTGGGTTAGAATTCAGGAGCTAAGTTTAGCTGGTTGGTTGTGGCTGAGGATCTCATGAGGCAGCAGCAGTCAAGATGCTGGCTGAGGCTGCAGTCATCTGAGGGATTGCCTGGGCCTGGAGGACCCTTTTCCAGAATTACTCACTCATGGCTGTTGGCAAGAGAGCTCAGTTCATCACTCCGTGGATCTCCGACTGGACGCTGAGTGTTCTCACAGTGTAGTTACTTGATTCTTCCAGAGAGAATGGTAAAGCTCAAAGGGAATGCCCCAGTGTCTTGCATGACCTAGTTTTAGAAGTCTCATACTATCACCCATGATATCCTACTAGTCCTGCTCAACTGGGGAAGGGTCTGCTGCTTGGAAGAGGTGAAGACCAGGAGGTAGGGGCCACTGGAGGCCATCATGGATGCTGGCTTCCACACAGGTGGAGGCAGAAATTGGAAAGTTGTATTCAGTTATTTTCTGAAGGAAAAGGCATAAACTACTACTCAAGGTAAGAGTTAGTGTCAGTAGAAAGAATGGCAACCAAGCAGATCTTTGGAATCCAAAGAACTTTAGTGGCAGATTACTGGCCTAACTAAAAACTGACTTACTGTACTGACAGAAGGGCCCCAGATGCTCAGGGCCTACGCGTGAGCCTACAGACTAGGAGTGGCCTGGGTCCTAAGGATGTTCCCGAGACCCAGGCCGCTGGGCACCTGCATATGCAAATTAACCCACCATCTTTGTCAGGTTAATTTGCATACTCCTGATTGGCTGGTGGGTAGAGTGGAGGGACAGTCAATTTGCATGTTTCTCTTTTATTAGTGTAGATAGTTATTCAGTGTGTCAGGGATCCTATGGAGTAAGATAATAAGGTGCTTAGGGATATAATAAGTAGAGAGATGAAATACCTTATTTAGATGTGAAGTAAGAAAGCTGAGACCTGAAGCCCTAAGCAGTACAAAAGTGAAAAATATTGAGGGACAGTGCCAACTAGATGAAGGGACCAGATGAATGGAGGAGCTTGTCACTTGAAGAACTGAAAGTGGACTAGTTCTGGCATAGCTCCCTTAGCGGATCCTGTGTGATGGGGTATAACGCTGCTCAGCCTGCCCTGCGGAGTGTGTGGTGTGTTGGGCTCCGGATTGTGAACATGGACACACTGCTGTGTGTTTTCCTTAGTGTGAGTGACACTGGGCAACCTGTTTGTTTATTCCACAGGGGTTTCTTACCATTAGCATCCTACTTTCTGATAACTATATTCTT